CGACGAAACGACGACGACGAGCGACTTATTATCGGTCAATCATCGGAAAAACCTCGAGCGTTGCGACTGTTTGCGAAAGGTCTCGAAGTCGTTACGAAAAAAAACGATAGGGAGGGATAGACAGGCATGCTGGTGCACACATCGATCCATCACGTGACCAGTGTTTCATACCTTGTCACAGACTTGTTTGTATCCCGCGAGGCACGGGACGTGACGTAATACCACAGGTAATCCGCATTTCACTAAGAGCGCGCGCCGATACTCGATACTAGCGTAAAAAGCGTGCGCATTCATTCTTTTCTTTCTCTCAAGCAATAGTTGGGTAGCCTATGGCACGGGCCGCAATAAGTCAAGTTTTTTCATAAGTATTTATTCATCACGACAATAAAAATATTTCCCATTTTTCAATGAAATAGTAGAAAACAGCAAAACAACAACATTTTCTCTGTCATAATTTTGCTCAAATTTTGGATTTTTACTCCAAAGAAAAAAAGACATAAGTTTAAGTTATCAAAATTCGTAAATTTTTATTAAAGCCTTAAAATACCAAACTACAAATAGCTATACCTTTTTACACTTTTACAAAAACTGTACAATTATGTTAAGGTCTGCAGTTGATTATTTTGTTCAAACCTAGCTAAAGTGGAAAAAGTTATGAACAAATCTTTGAAATCAAAAGCATGTGAACAAAACTAGCTGAAGGATCTATGATTTTGATCAACAAAATATCCAAAACTGTCTCCAAAACCTTACAATTTTATAAAATAGATATTTAAGCTTATAAGTACAAAGAAAATGAAGTAAGTTATTGTAGAAAACTGAGCATTTTTTTTAATAAACAGTTTGATGTGATTTTTGTTGTGTTGAATTATGTATCAGTGCAAACCTACATCTCTGGGTCTAATATTGAATTTATCTATATGTAGAAACTAAGTACAGGATAATTATCCTGACAGAATTGTTTACTACTCTTACTAACTTCTACAGATACTGGATTACCTTGCAGGTTTAGAAGGGTTAGTTTACTAGCTATGTTATGTACAATGTGATCCACCCCTACATCTGATATGTTATTGTGATACAGGCTTAGCGAGGTGATGCGAGTGCTGTGTAAATATTTACACAAACACTTTAGGTGGTCATCATTCAAACCACACCGCACCAGCCCCAGTCCAGTGATTGTGGAGTTTGAATGAAGAGATGACAACAATCTATTTAACATGGTAATGGTTATCTGTGAGTTAGCAATGTACAATGTGTCTGGTGGTGATGACTTGACACGAGTAAACCATGACAAAACAGTGTGTAATCTGTGTGGTGGTGATGATATTGATGTAGCAGTGGATTCTAATAACATAGCGAGTGCATCACAGTCCGTGTCGGTTACACCAAGTAATAGAATCCTCCCATCACTACCCCAGTATCTGTAGTCACGATTTGTAGTCAGTTCCTGTCTTGTGAATTCTTTCTCTTGGCCGTACTCATGGAGACAGCGCAATAACACAACGCGTTGTCTCCATTCATCCACCCATTGTTTACATACAGACTTTAGTACTTTCGACATACATTTATCGTTGTTGTTCTCCTGATCTAAACCCAACAAACCACTCGTGAATATGTGCACCATGTCAGAGGTTTCTTGTGCCGCCATTGCGCGCCTCTTCACCAAATGACAAGCAACAAAAAACTCTTGAATGGTTAAATGTGAGAAACCATATTCAAGTGTTGTTTGTGGGAATGGAGAATCACTGGCAACAGGATAACAAAATATTAAATTACTTGATTTAAGGTAAGATATTTCATTTTCAGGTAATTTTAGCTTTTCTAGGTCTTTTCNAGCTCTTTGTTGCCAAGCATGACAAGTTGCCTGAACGTTATCAGGTATGTAAATTTAATGTTAGGGATCGATATGCAATTTGTTGACCAGTCTCTGACGATTTTCTGCGAGAACAAAGTTTTTCCAATACCTGGTTCGCCAGAAACCAAAATTGACTTTGGATCGTCTTCTTCRTTTTCACCAACAAATATATCAGAGCATTGCTTAAGTTCAGTTGCCATTTTACGTGGGCGATGGTCTTCTGGAGTTGTTTGCTGTAGCCTTTTTTTTGTCCTGTGATTAATGGCCAGTCTTGCAAAAATATCGTCAGTTGCCGTTTTACGTTCGTCTTCTTCTGCTGTTTGCTGTAGACATTCTTTTCTCCCGTGATAAATGGTCAGATTTGTGAAAATATCGTCAGTTTTCAGTCTTGATTGATCGGGTCCTTTTGGTAGCAAATCTGTTTGCTTTGTTATTGCTTCCTTGAGTTTGATGGAGTACTCTTCCACATCTGATAAAGAAATATGGGTTGGTTATGTTTGACATTTTTTTTCATTGTGCTTACAAAATAAACCATTGCAATTTAAAAATGTTTGATAAAGTGAAATTCATAACATATAAGTTAAAAGAAATAAAATCTAAGCTTAAATAGTTTCTACCCAATAGTTCTTCTTGCAATTACAAGTCACAGAAGTTTGGACTGTGGATTTTTTTTCATTACATTTGCCTTTTATTAAGCGTTTTCGTTAGATAGAAAGGCTGACAGGGGAGATGGATTGGTTGCCTTGCAAACCCCTCTCTCTAAATATGAAATAAAACTTTGTAAAATATTCGTCGTGGCCTTGACATTTATTGTTATATACAGTCCAAAAGTTAAAAAAATCAACAGATAGTGCTTTTTGATAAAGACAAAAAAAGAAAACAAAAGACAAACAAATAACAGAACAAAATCAATATCTATTGAGAAATATTTGTTGCTTCATTATATTTTTTGTTAGAAAAAAATTAAATGCACAACTTGGTTGAAAGTCTAATGTTCATGAATTTTGCTTTATAATTTCAACATAAGCTAGGATATATTTTTGTATTTGGCTTACCACTTAGTCTCCTATCGCAGCCATTAGGACGTTCGTTCCCAGTCTGACCTGGGAACGAACGTCCTAACGGCTGCGAGAGGAGTTATTTACCACTGTAAATTAATAAATAAATGGTTTTTGAAAAATATTGTATTTGTACGACACTGTCCGCTAGTAAAATATCACTTGAGAAAAAACTACTAACCTTCACTTGACAATTCTGAGGCTTTTGATGTTGATGGTTTCTGTAGGTTATGAATTCCTTTGAGTATCTCCTCTTGTCCTTGATGTTGGCCCTGCTTTAGTTCTTCAAGTCCTTTCTCTAGACCTGACTGCACTTGCTTCATTACCTCTTTTCCTTGCTGTTGTTCCTGCTTTAGCTCTTCAAGTCCTTGCTGTAGACCTGACTGTCCTTGCTTTATGTCCTCTTGTCCTTGCTGTTGTTCCTGTTTTAGTTCTTCAAGTCCTTTCTGTAGACCTGACTGTCCTTGCTTTATGTCCTCTTGTCCTTGCTGTTGGTCCTGCTTTAGCTCATCAAGTCCATGTAGTATTTTTTCTTGATTTTGTTGTAACTGTTGCTGGTTCTGCAGTACCTCATCTAGTCT